TTGTAGTAGTTGTAGTTGTATAAGTAGAAGTAGTAGAAGTAGTAGTAGTAGTTGTTTTGGTGTAATTGTAGTAGTAATAGTAGTTGTAGTAGTATAGTTGTAGTAGAAGTAGTAGTACTAGTAGTAGAAGTAGTAAGTAGTAGTAAGTAGTGGTATAAGTAGTAGTAGTAGTAGTAGTAGTAGTAGTAGAAGAAGTAGTAGTAGTAGAAGTAGTGGTAGAAGTAGTAGTAGTAGTAGTAGTAGTAGTAGTAGTAGTAGTAGTAGTAGTAGAAGTAGTAGTAGTAGTAGTAGTAGTAGTAGTAGTAGTAGTAGTAGTAGTAGAAGTAGTAGTGGTAGAGTAGTAGTAGTAGTAGTAGTAGTAGTAGTAGTAGTAGTAGTAGTAGTAGTAGCAGTAGTAGTAGTAGTAGAAGCAGTAGCAGCAGTAGCAGAGTAGTAGTAGTATGATATCAGTAGTAGCAGTAATACAAGTAGAAGTAGTAGTAGTAGTAGTAGTAGTAGTAGTAGTAGTAGTAGTAATAGAAGTAGTAGTAGAAGTAGTAGTAGTAGTAGTAGTAGTACCAGTAGTAGTAGTAGTAGCAGCAGCAGTAGCAGTAGCAGTAGCAGTAGCAGCAGCAGCAGCAGCAGTAGCAGCAGCAGCAGTAGTAGCAGCAGAAGTAGCAGCAGTAGCAGCAGAAGCAGCAGAAGTAGCAGCAGTAGCAGCAGCAGCAGTAGCAGCAGAAGTAGCAGCAGTAGCAGCAGTATCAGCAGCAGTAGCAGCAGAAGTAGCAGCAGTAGCAGCAGTATCAGCAGCAGTAGCAGCAGCAGCAGCAGCAGTAGCAGCAGAAGTAGTAGCAGTAGAAGCAGAAATAGCAGTAGTTGTAGTAGCAGACGTAGCAGTATATTGAAATATATCATATCTTAGATATCTACGCTTTTATACTGAAGTTAGTTTTGATTCTATTCCTATGCAGTGAATGTGAAAGGTAAGCAACCATGTGATGTATATGAGGAGACTGTAGGAAGATGTGCTGATGGCTTCAAATGCGAAGTTGAAAACGAAAGACCAGTTTGCAGGTAAAAATGAAATCGCTTATTTTTGTTGTAGTTATTCTAAGCACTATTTCAATGCTGCATATTAAATGATTTTAATAACAATCATTGTTCATTGTTTTGCAACTTGATGTAAAAGACAGACAAAAACAAGATTTTTTTTCTTTGTACGATACATTAAACAATTTTTGACACATTTATAATCGTCGATATATATTGTTGCGGATTTGTTTACCAAATAGTACGTCAAATGTAGGTCAAATAGTCATTTATATAAAAGCATTTGCTCACTCGTGTGTTATCTCATTTTAGAACAAGTACCTCTGAGGGTGAGTACTTATTTTTGTTGCTGATTTAATTTTGAAAAAAAAAATATAAGTATTTCAATACTTTAATTTAACCCTATAACAAAGTAAACAAGGTGTTAAATGTTTAAACATTTATTCATTTATAGATAAATGCTGTACAAATAAATATTTTTGAATTCATAAAGCATAGACTGTACATCATCACTATAGTTGGACTCAAAATATAAAAAAAAAGTGTTTACAAATATGCCTAAAAAATGAGAATAATGTTATTTGCAGTAAACCTTGCATTGATAATAGGAGTGTCGTGCGGTTGCTTTATTCTGTTGTTGCTCATCATAATTGTGATAATGTGTCTCAGACAACGAAATCAAAGGAAGAAGGAAGAATTCAGAATGCAAAGGGAGTATGTTGTTGCCTATATCTTATTAAGATGTTAATTATCTATAAATTGAAACAAAATGTATTTTAAATTAGTTCGATTTTGTAAGAAACAACCCCTACAATGTTTAGTAAAAAAACAATTCGTCTGTTTAGGGTTGCTTCATAACCAAACTTTATATGTTCCGCATTTTATGGAGTTGGTTGTTTCGGACCTGTATTTATAAAGGTATTTTTCATTAAGTCGAATATGACACCTGTACACACGAGTATAAACAAATAATGAACCACAATACATTTACGTCATTTTCTAGCACATTAACATTATCTTGAAATCTAATTTTTAAATCAAGTAGTTAATATTACAGGCTTACAAGTACTTCTGACATGGGAATGAAACAAATTAACGACCCACGATAAATTTACGTCGTTGTCTACCACATGAGCATTAACTTGAATTTTATATTTTAAATCAAGTGACATTATGCTCATTTTCTGATCTAGAATTAGTTCAATAAGTAACACATTTTAAAAAACTGACTATTATAATAGTGATTGACCAATAACTTACATTGTAATATGATATAATGTAACTCTAATCTTACAGGCTTACAAGTGCTTCTGACATGGGAATGAAACTTGAAAATATAAACAGCCGTCAGGGGAACATCTACAACGTGTTAGATTGGCAGACCGATAAGACAGGTATTACTTGCTGTTTATTCAAAACGGATTTAATCACATTTTAATCAACTAATGTTACGGTAATTGCTTTACACAGAGCAGCTATGTATCTATAATTGTATTTTAGATAAGTAAACTATTATAAAGTTTCAGTATTTATAATAAAATTGATTCATACGCTGTATTTCCAACTTAATGTAAATGAGAACATCTTTTAGATCTTTGAAAACAGCTTGTATGTTTCATGACTATAGTTTACTTTCAATATGCGAATTATTTCCATTTATTTGTACTTTGTTTTAGTTAAATTTATTTTATTAAACTATGTTTTGTCTACTTGCATAGTTTTTTATTGTTGTTAACTTCCATCATTGAAGCAGGGTGAGTTGCTGGCGGATGGTATTATTTTGTCAATTGTAATGTTTATGATGTCATTTTGTTTAATTATATGATCAAAAAGGCTTAACAACGTTAACAGAACGCAGACTTCACCTGTTTTAATTTTGTGTATACTATAAAAAAAAATACAAAGCTGTGTGTGCGTGTGCATGTTATTGAGCATGCGTGCGTGTGTATTTGTGCTGAACAAGAAAATTGAATTGTTTGCGAGTATTTAAAGTTTGCTTATAAAGTGTATGTCATTGTATAAAAGTAAATAGATCTATGTTGTTTATTTCTATATCTTTATATTTATAAACGTGACTTTTTAGCTCACCGGAGCATGCTCAGGGTGAGCTTTTAAGATCGATGATTGTCCGTTGTCCGTCGTCCGTTCACATTTAGTTGTTAACACTCTAGCGGTCGCATTCGAACATGGGTCATCTCGATGAAAAACTAGGTCACAAGAGCTAAAAATAGAAAAACCTTGTTAACACTCTAGAGGTCTCATTTTTGCCTCAATCATCATCAAACTTGGTCAGGATGTTTGTCTAGTTGATAGCTCGAAAGAGTTCGAACATGGGTCATCTCTGATGAAAAACGAGGTCAACGGAGCTAAAAATAGAATAACCATGTTAACACTCTAGCAGTCACTTTTTTGCATCAATCATCATCAAACTTGGTCAGGATGCTTGTCTATGTGATAGCTCAGATGAGTTCGAACATGGGTCACCGGAGCTAAAAATAGAAAAACCTTGTTAACACTCTAGCGGTCACATTTTTGACATAAGTGTCATCAAACTTGATCAAGATGCTTGTCTAGGTACTTGCTCGGATGAGTTAGAACATGGGTCATCTCGGATGAAAAACTAGGTCACAGGAGCTAAAAATAGAAAAACCTTGTTAACACTCTAGTGGTCACAATTTTGACTCAATTGTCATCAAACTTGGTCAGGAAACTTGTCTAGGTCATTGCTGGGATTAAATTGAACATGGGTCATCTCGGATGAAAAATTAGGTCACAGGAGCTAAATATAGAAAAATCTTGTTAACACTCTTGTGGCTACTGTTGTGGTCCATATATTCTGTAAATTGGTCTGAAAGTTTGTTTTGATGATTTATAAGTCAAGTTCAAACATGGGTCATCTTGGATGAAAAACTAGGTCACACCGCCCAAATATGGAAAAACCTTGTTAACATTCTAGTGGTCGCATTTTCGACTCAATTATCATCAAACTTGGTCAGGATGCTTGTCTAGGTAATTGCTCGGATGAGTTCAAAATCGCATGTGAAACTAGGTCACCGGGGCTGAAAATAGAAAAATCTTGTTAACACTCTAGTTGCTACTGTTTTGATCCAAGTACCCTGGAAATTGGTCTGAAAGTTTGTTTTGATGATTTCTAGGTCAAGTTTGAATATAGGTCACCTGGATAAAAAAAACTAGGTCACACTGCTCAAATATGGATAATCCTTGTTAACACTGTAGTGGTCACATTTTTGACTCATCTGTCATGATACTTGGTCAGAATGCTTGTCTAGGTAATTGTTTGGATGAGTTTGATGGGTCAGGTGAGCGATCTAGGGCCATCATGGCCCTCTTGTTTATTGATAGCGGCGGCAAACATGGGAGATAAGGGCGATGACAACGAATCTAAGTATATGACTTGGAAATCGATAGCTTCAAGATTTACCATGGCATCTGGCAATGATTCTAGAGTAAGATACATTAACATTACAAAAAACTAAAGCTTGGTCATTCGATTCAAATCTAAAACAAAGCAGATATTAGTAAACTATTCGAATATAAGAATGTTTGTATGCCAAAGGAAAAACAAAATCCGATTTTTAAATTGATATGATCATGAAGATTGCATGATAAAGCGATATAAGAAAATACATTACAATATCATACACGAATTGATTTATTTCGTTCTTTTTTTACCACGATAATATTTGGCGTGACTTGCCACTTTTAACTAAACGAAGTTACCTCAACCTTGATACTGTGTTTCGATATTTCATGTGGAGAAACATGAAGTACTTGACAATCCCATGAAGAACGAGATACATTTAAAACAATTAAATCATTCGATTAACTAAAGTACCATTATTTTATGATAAATTAGGGAGACTAAAAACGTGATGGAGCGCAACACTACATACCGTTTTTCGGTATACATTCATCTACTGATACCGCTTTATATACGATTATGAATGACAAATTAATATAAATATTCGTTGTTATCACCACTTCTGTCAAGCGTCTAGAGATATTGCTTTATAAATTTGCATTTTTGATGAAGTTTAAAAGCTGCCAATTTACAAGTTATGTGTTTTCAATTAATTGTCCTTTTCCTTATTTTGAAAAACATATTCTTTTTACTTCAGAATGATGGACTCTATCACATTCCCCGTGCGAGAATGAAGGCATCTCCTAGTCCAAATCCAGACTACATAACTCCAAGGGAATATTAATCGGACTTTTTAATAGTGTTGTTGATGACTTGTTTTTTACTTTATCTTTGTGTTACTTTTATCCAATCTGTTATCATTATACCAATAAATCCAGTGTCACTATCATGTGTAAAGCTTCCTCTCTAGATATTAGGACATCATAATCTTTATTTAAATGATTTGTTCTTTTGTTCTCTACGTTTAAAAATTTTGATAAAATAATGGAGAGACACTATATTAAAGCATTAATTTAGATTATTATCAGTCCGAGAATAAATCGCCTGAAAAAGAATATTTTCTTCAATAAATTTACTGCATAAATCGACAATAAAAATGGACAAAGCAACAACGTTCTGCAATTAGTATTTTTAATTCTTTTAATCGCCATATATCTATAAATGTGGTCTTTAAACGTTAGAAAAAAACGTCTACATGAAATGTATAGTTGCTTAGTTTATACAATATGCGGAATGTCTTCTTTTTTATATAAGACATACATATTGTATCAACAAGAAGAAAATCTCTTCATAAGTAAACTATAATGAGAGAAATGTTTTTGTTAAGGTTAATGTTAAAGAAATGTTATTGAAATTCAATTTGAAGGATGAGGACGTGTGTTATGGAACAAAATGTCTTGCATACAATATTTTTTTCGGTTTAAAAAGGACTCAATTAATCATTTCAGGCGTCAATTTTGTTTTCTATAGTTTCTCCGTTCTTGCAAATATAACAATAAACTATTTCTCTAGCATTTGTGGAAAATTAAAAATCGATTAAATTGTACATCTGTATTTTGTCTTTATAAAGATATCATAATATGTGTCATTCTTTCAATATGCTTATATGATGTAATTTGACAGTTTAAAATCCTGTTTGTTATAATAAAGGTTGTTACCACACTTAAGTGAAATATAATAATGCTTCTTAAACAGTTTTCAAACATCGAAGAATATGTTAAATATGTACTGCAAATATTTGTCCTCATTATATGTAATCATTAAAATATATGCATTCATTTCTTATTGAAATATTTGACTTAGACTTTGACTTAGACTTTATAGAAAATAAATTTCTATTTACCTCCTTTTATTAACATGAAATGTAAATCCGTAATATCTTTTCAAATAATGCTTTTTGATAAATCAGCATTTAAGCATTATATTTTTGATATAAAACCGTAAGAAAATTGAGCTACAGGATCTCATAATAAAAACACTGCGTTAAGCTGTTGTTAAATTAATTGCGTGATTCACGCATATAAAAATAAAGTGAGACTGGTCGGAGCCGCACAGCGTATTCCGGTATATACCAGACAAGGCGCATGAATGATTTAATGCTAAAAGTTCGACTTTTAACCCAACGGAATAAACTTTAAGCGTCTAATTAATCGTTTCATACTGACTTATATAAGATAATGAATGAAAAATTAAAACATAGGCGAAAAAGATATATTTGTCGAGTTTGTGATCCTGAGTTCTGCAAGCTTCTAGTGATATTTACTGCGTTATTTCAATAAAAAATAAACATAGACAATATATCCGCTTGCGCAGATTTTAAGCAAGAATTTGTAAACAAAATCTAAACCTACGACTTTTTGTAGGCGCCGGTAAACGTAAACGTAAGCATTGTTATACATCTAATATCTGTCTAGATTTTTAGAGCTATCATTTATGTTAAAAAAACAGATTTGTCAAGCAAACCATAACTTTTTCCTATTGAAAAGATTATTCAAGTGTGATTATTTATTCAGCTCTTAAAGAAGAAAAACGTGGAGATGACTCTGTTTACGGCATTGGCGTTGACGTCGTCGTCAGAGTGGGCGGTTGTTTACCTTCTCGTTTAGACTCGCTTTTTCAGAAACTTAAAAAAATCACTTCCAACTAAGTATTTAATTTAATAAACATCATTTCAAAAGTGCATTATATCCTGCATATTATATTTTTGCAAAGGAATGTCCCGCTTTTTATTTTGTACCTTTCTTAAGGACACATTAGCACACAACTTATTTTTCTCAGTTTTGCGCCTGTAAGCCCCATTTTTTTACTGCACAATTCTTGGTCAATCTTTTTGTAAAGGTACATTTCTCTAGCATGTATTCACTTTCAACTTGAAGTACATGCTAATAATTGAATTTTGAAATGAAATTCTTAACGACAGATAACCCTGAAAGCCTTTATTGCTAAATTAGTTCCCTTTTGGATTATTTGTTTTTCCTTTTCCTCAGAAATCATTAAATGTATAAGCTATAAATTTGAAATATTGATTTTTTTTAATGTGCGTTAGACTGCTTAGCAGACATATAATTGAAGAATAGTGTCCCTTCACTCTCTTGTTATTTAGACAAATGGAGGGTGCTTTCCACAAACAAGTCTTGTTTATGTTTTATATCATTTTATTCAATATTGATACTAAACACAAATATTTTGTTAAATATTTTTAGTTATAATGAATCATGGTTAACAATGTTTGCAAGATTGATAATATCCATTTAGCTTTAATCCAGCTGTTTTTAATCCGGTATTACGTTTAGATTCGTCAGAACATCATTGTCGCTGACTTAAGTGATTCATAGGCTTTAAAATCATAGTATTCCATTCCAGACGGAGTGTTTGTTCGTGGCTTGAAATATTGTCCATTCAGGTTAGAAAATGCACAATTAAAATACCACTAACCATCCCGACACAATGTGGAGAATTGTCATGGTCGTAAGAAGAGAAGAGAAAGGTTGTCCGTTGTTGTGATCACCTAACGATGGAAAATATATCTCATAAAACATAACATCCGACAAACACATGTGAAACTTTAACATACATATTCGCCCCTTCTCGATAACTACACGATAAAGAAAAAGCCATGAAATTAGAAGCTTAAAACTTGTAGCTAGCCGGTAGTAGAAAATCCAATAACCGAATGTTTGATGTTTATTTTTCTTTGTGTGATAGCCATTTACCATGTCATCAATATATGTAAACTATTAATAAATGTAGCAAATCTGCTAGCATGTAAATGTTGTGCCATCTTTATCATGCTTAGCTAATTCTTTGATCTACGCACTCAGACTGACAAACAGTAAATCTTACAAAATGGGTTCTTTAATGAATAATTGATTTTTAAAATGTTAAAAACATTATCTTTCACAAAGGTTACAGAAAAAGAAACATTGATAATGGCATAAAATGCCTGCCTGTCAGGCAAATGTCAAAAGCGGAAAAAACTATATCTCCAAGACTCATACTACTATACAAAAATTGCAAGGCCGTTTTACTAATTTATATACCAAAATATATCAAAAATAAACTTGCTTCATTTGTAAATGTTTTGGTTGTTTTTGTTTTGTTGTTTTTGTTGTTGTTGTTGTCCAGTTAATTTCTATCTTCTTAACATAATATTATACATACCAGCTTATCCCACCAGAGTTTTCAAAAACAACAAATAGTTTATGTCATCTAAAATAAAATTTTCATCTGAAGTAAAACAAAATATATATATAATTTTTCTGTTATTTTTCAATTTGAGTATCACATTTATCAAAAGTTAATGAGATTGTTTTAATAAAAACACACCTACAAGTTATTAAAAGCAATTCTTTGTATAGCAATTTCCTCATTCCAAGGAAAGACGACCAAAGTGTTTATCAAGAACCAACTTAATCATATATTTATTTCATTCAATTATTTATTCAACAAATAATAGTTATAATTAACTAAGCCATAATACTTTATAGTTATGATACTACTTGTTTTCATCTGAAATTGAAGATAACATCCAAATTAGGAATATTCAGCGCTTATAATGCAAAGTCACAGACGAAACATGACCTACATGCTTGCGTTTGCCACTCTTATTGTAAAGGGGAGTTCAAAAGGAGATGAAATAGAATTTTGTGACTTTTTAAAAGGCTTGTTTTGCAAACATGATGCTTATTCTTAATCGGTAGTACTGATGATGAATGTTTAGCTTCGATTTTGCATACCAAAACTTTTTCTTTCTGTTGCTCGATTGTGATGAAAACTTGAAATAAATTTGACCGTTCGGCAAAAAGGTTGACTTTAAGGATTGACGCATCAGAAATGCACACCGTTTATCCCTGCGTGGTCGTAAGGGGCGACTAAATTTGTTCGAGTCTGTGCAGCACCGTGAGGTGAAGAGGTTTTGACCCCAGGTGTTGCTCCTAAAGATGACCAAAACCGGCGCCATATAATAAAATTGGTGCACCGTAAAACCAAACATAACAAATAAAAACTAACGGAAAAACCGCTCTAACTAGTTACGGCGTCGGTTACACTGTTGCCGAATAATTAACCATGTCGAGGCATACTTAACACCCTGAACTAAAATACATAGGATTACGTCATCGCATTAAAATTAATTTGCTACCATTCAAGTACATTGAATATAATTGATTAAAGAAACTAACTGATTTTGTTATTGACATACGTCACGACTTGAAAAGACTTTAAAGCAAGAATGCATCAAATCTCGAGCTTAAAGTATATATGCATACTTTTAGTTCGAGATTTGATGCATTTTTGCTTTAAAGTCTTTTCATGTCAATTCAATTTTTCAAGATCGACATTTACAATAACATGCATTGTATATACAGAAAATCGATTCATATCTATATATATAGATTACGTGTATTTTGAATTTAACATGCTTAGTGCGACTGTATAAGGTTTGGGTTTTTTTTCAAGTATATGGAAAAATATTTCAAGATCAAATATACTATATGTCCTAATATAATCATATTACAAATTGTCAAACTACTGGTATTATATGACGACACGATATATAAGACATATGTATGAACAATGTACTACAGGTCGGTATAATACCTTCATGCCATATCAACTATTTTAGTAGGTGTTTCACCATATCTTATATGAACTAATTTGTAACTCATTTTTTTCCTTTCTTTTTATTTATTATGGTAACTTTAATTTGAATAAAAGAGAGCTTTTATTGTCACGCGTTTATTTAATATTTCGTACAAAAGAAAAGAAATCAAAGTAATACTCTCAAAGTATGTTTCGTTCACTCTTTCAATACGCAGACCTTACTTGCTTCACACTTGGTTTACAAATCGGGGATATGCAAATATTCACCAAGGTCATTTCAGTAACAATCATATGGCAAGAGTAAATTCTGTTACACTTCATGTAACAAATTGAAAAAATACGGTAAATTTTTTTCTATGGCTTTGCTTCAAGTAGTAGGTCGTTCCGTTGTTTCTTTGAGAGTTATTGCAAGTAATTTTGGTTGTTGTCTATTATATTCATGATGTATTTATTCAATTATTAAAATGTTATGTGTGTTGCAATTTTTACTATCTACACATCTTATATGGTGCAACACGAAATAGCTCGTTGCGTTGTTGTTGTTGTTGTTGATTTTGTTTTTGTCCTTTTGTTGTTGTTGTTTACATTTGTTTCAAATTCAATGTTGTTTACTTCTTTTTGTGCAATTACAGGCATAAACACTCCCTCACTATATCAAATGCAATAACGTTAATGCTATCAAAACCAATATATCAATTTAGTGGTCGAATAGGTCCTAATACATTCGAATGTTCCCTCTTAATTAATGACAAAATTCCTTATACTTATTAATCTAAATCAGGGAAACATTTGAGCATGACAATGAAATATATAGTGAGCACAGATTTAATAAGTATAAACTTCGAAAGATTTTTCAAGGGTAAAGATTTTAATAGCTTTTGCAAAAGGAAGCATTTTCAAAAAGGAGGCTTCGTAGGGATATCAAATTAGGAACATAATATTATTATAAGTATATTGTATCTTAGCCTATTTGTCAATGTATGTAATCATGTTTTACTATACACGAATTCAATACAATATCCCAGAAAAGAGGTTCTTTATTTTTATGTATCATTTTTTAATACATTTGTAATAGAAACGATCGTCAAACAAAGTGACATATCACAACATAATTGTCGTCGTCGTATTTTCTCGGATATTAGCATTATAAACGTCGGAACATTATTTTCGATGATTTCAAGGATTCGTAGCCTTTAAATTCATTGTATGCCATTCCATGGGTACCATTAAATATTCCTGGTTTTAAATATGGTCCATTCAAGTAAACGTATGAACAAAAATTATACCACCAACCACCATGGTTTTGTATGGCACATTGATGCGAATTGTCATGGTCGTATGTAGAAAAGGTATGACGGTTATTGTAGGAGAGCCCATATGTATCACCTACAAAGAGTGAAAGATATTTTTATACATACATTATACGCATTTGCACAATAACGAAATCATTAGCTTTAAAACTATGATAGTGTATCTATACGCAGTCATAACTTTTCATTTGTTAAATAAACAAATAGATATTCATATGATCAAAAGCAACGAATAATCTAATCAACTAACGACTTTTTAATGGCATGTTGCACGCGGATATTAACCAAGTAAACCGGGAAAATCGTTTACTTAATGAAATAATCTTCATGAACTACATGTATATGTATTGTTAGAACAAGTAGATTATGTGGGTAGAGTAATTGATAAGATATCTTTAATTTTTTGTTATACTTTAGAAGACAAGCAAAGATTTTTATAATGTGTCAGTTACAATTCTTTTTATGAATCAGTGTTGCATCCCCCAGTGTTCTTCTATTGAGCAAAACTTCCGGTTAGGACATAATTATAATTAAAATTATGCACAGAAGTGCGAAAATACGACACATAAAAGCTGTCGTATATCCGCATTCCGTCTGTCGTATTTCGCTTTTTCGTTTTCAAAATACAAAAATACAAGCATGGCGTAAATCAGCCACCATAAAAAAGAGAGATATTTTCAAGAGCATTCAAATGTACAGAATAGCGCAAACTATTTCAGGATTTTCTTCCGGTTCTAAAACTCGTACACCCATAAAGAGTTATACATGCAAGCGGCATCGGTTGTTTAAGTCTGGTCATTAGCGGACTTTCATAACCTCAGGCCCCCCTCCACAAAGATTTAAGGATCAGGATCAAGATCAGGGTCAAGTTTAAAAGCTCAAATTGTTCTTATTACTTATCCTCATAGATTAAATATTCAATATTAACTTGATAAAAATGGACTTGAAATATCATGATTATGAAATTTTAGAATAAACTGATTGTTATTTTTACAAGATACAGGCATTTTATAGTTGAGTCAAATTTGATCTTGACCTCATTTTGATTCGATTATTTTTTCATTTGTTTACATATTTGTTGACTTTATCCCAAAATAGGTTGGTTTCTTTGCAAATAAGCAATTATTTACGTTTTGAATATGTACCATTTAATTCTAGCATAATACGATCAGTTTTAATTTTATAAAACAATACAATGATAACCAGGATCAGTTGATCCTGATCATGATCTTTTCTTTGTGAACACGGGGCCAGGCCCTGTGTTCACTAAGATTTAACTATCAGGATCAAGATAAGAGTTAAAAAAAAAAAACACTCAAATTGGCAATTGTTGATTCTTATATATTTTATATTCAATGTTGATGTAATGCTGTATTTTAATGTCATTTGATTATTTAGTAATATACTTTTAATAAACTAATTATATTTTCTCGATAATGTAATGAACTGTTTTAGAAATTATTGAACAACAGAAATATGTAAATTATCAATTAGCCAAGCCGGTTACATGTTTATTGTAATTAAAGCGTCTGAGACGTTTATGTTTATTCACGTCACATTTATGGCAAAATGGTTGTTATCATCAATTTTATCTTAGATTTTAATTTGAACTTTATTTATCTGATTATCTGTTTGACTTAAATAAAGGAATTAACAGACCGCTGGCTTTTGACATCCGGCGTGTTAATCAGTCTAAATCGAAACATTTTGAATGGTCAAATTTATCATTTTTAATTTATAGAATGCATTTTCATTGGTTTATAATTTCTTGCTTCATGATCGTATTTTATTGGTTCATTATTGAAACCTTGGTTACAACTATATATGTATTAATTAAAAGACGACTCAGAACTTTTAAGAGAGACAAACAGAAAACATGTTATGGTTGATGTTTTAAACGATGATTCCGCAGATTTCTGCGGTGTATTTTAATTAGATATGTTATTTCTGAATCACTGTACAGAAAGATAGTTATTTTTAGCCCCATGTTATTTAAACCGGTTGGAATTGTTGAAAATATATGTGAATAGGGAAACTATATTTAAAGAGAAAAATTTGATTTTGAGTGTGTGCTTATATAATGAAATGAAGGACTTTAAATAGATACTGAAGATGAGTAATTATTACACTTGAACTGAGTATTTTATAACAGGGATCATTATATCACAGTAATGTTGATGAACATTTGGTAAACGAAACTTCCCCAGTCCCATCCCCTTTAAAGCAACGCGCCACATTAACTTAATACATTGGCTTGTGAAATGTTTATAAAGTATAGGTAGGAGGAAAAGAACATACTTATTGACAAGATTTGCACGTTCAACATTTGATCCAAATAATGGTCTTCATCCTAAAATTGATCCTTGTGTTGATCCGGTTATTTTTGTATTTGTATTGTTGTTCCACAATTTTATCCAAAATAAGGTCTGTAATTTAGAAATGTGTCCAATTTGCATAAGTATCATAACATTTTAGCCTAATTTGATACATTTTAGTTTCATATATAGTTTCATCCTGATCCTGATCTTTTCTTTGTGATCACAGAATTGGAAACGGAAAACACAGGACAGTAGTAATGCTTATTAAGACATGAAAAATATATGCATACATGTAACCTTTGAAATGGCCAAAGAAAGTGAACAACCTTGACTTAAACTAAGTCCCTTTTTGTTGTTGTTGTTGTTCGTTTTTTCAGGTCATAGTATAAGAGGAATATTTCGTACCAGAAGTGCCAGTTCCACGGTCTATATGGAGGGCATACCCGGGAGATGAACCAAGATAGAAGTTTGAAAAAACTTCGTAAAAACTTGAGTTATCTGCCGCTGTGAGATCTATCCTTAGTTCAGTTGGTCCAATTGCAGCCATTTCTTCTACATATTTTAATCCTGATCAATATAAATATCCAAATTTGTTTTCCTTTATGGTGCACAGACAATATATATCTTAAAAATTCTATCATAGTGTGATATATTACACAGCTGTAATATAAATAAATTGTTTCTTTAATGAACAATTTTGTCTTAAATGTGTGATCGTAAAGCCATTTTAACTAAGATGCTCGCCATATGAAACACTTTTTTTTCGAAAGTTTTGTTTCTTTAACTGGCTATCAAAACATACGAAAGTAAATTTACAGCATGCGTTGAAATATATTACGTTAACTGTACCAGATATGCTTACTTACCCAGCCAAAATTCGCCCGAATAGTTTCCAAATCCGTTTGTATATTCTTTGAGATTTCGGGTGAAATTAACAGATCCATCGAATCGATTTTGGAAGACCTGTAAATATGAAATATTGCATTGAACAGCTATACATCTTGTGTCTGGATGTATGGAGATTTCTACTTAGAATACTAGTATTTTATTTGCAAACTAACGAAGTGCTTTTAAACATGTTAAAGGTTGTCACAAGTTTGCGTATTACCAAGAAGTGTTGTTAAAAAGGCGATGTATTCTTTATATAGTTAGAATCTAATTAAGACCTACAATGTGAATGCAATCTGACGACCGAGGCAAACGACATCAGGAACAACTCCTTGCATCATTTTCAGAGTAAGCACCCGAGTAAGGCTGAGATCATTTTAAAATCTTCCCGGAGAGCTTTCACATTGCCTATTCAAACAAACATTCAAGTCTGAAGTTAAAGCTATCTCAAAATCACTGGCCATAAACGACCAATAACGTATTGCCATCATCGGCGCTTCTTACCCACTGCAAGTAATAAAATTATTTTGTCAAAGCAATACTATGACCAGGCATTTTAGAGTAAAATTATAAACTTTTCAATATAACATCTTCCTTGCTGCTATTTCTTAAATGTTTATTGGGACATTTCGAATCATCATTTATTTCAAAATAATATGACGTACCGTCCAACCACCCTTGTCTGTCTCCATGTCACAGTATATTTCTTTCACAACAGGAGTACTCCATAGGACAACGTTATATACTCCACTTTTACTCGAAATGTTTTTATGGAGTATATCGAAACAATCTGTTACGTTAGCTATAATACGAAAAACATTACATACATTTTATTATTATGAAGTTTTAACAACAAAATCTTTACAGTCACTTCAGAACATTTCGGGTTTTTTATAAAGATGGTATTTGGATGACCAATATTAATGATTTCAGTAACAATGTCAAAAGACAAAATCTTATTCGTGCTATTAGTATGTAACAAACCCACCGATATCACAGTTCTTTCCAATATACCCTTCAAAACACTTGCATGTGTCGTCTAAGATTCCATATTTTCCGTGTTTGCATGCATTTACTGCAGATGCTAAAATTAAAAGATATATTTATTCTTTTGCTTAACAACAAATATAAGCTCAAGTAATGATTTTGTACTAAATATTCTTTTGTTTTTTTATTTGTCATATATAAGAAAATATTAAGTACATGTATTCTAGGAAATATCGACAGTGTATATATTATTCCGTACATAAAATATAATTCCTTTCATACTTATAAAGGATAACGCAATAGATAACGAAGAACAAAATTCATCTTTGCTTGCATTTGTTTTGTAATCACAAGTAACTAAAGCAATATTATCAAATAAAGAAAGGCAAGGACAGTTAGATTTATATATACAGGATAGCCAATTAATTATGGGGTCTTAAAATAAAGCATGTTCTTAAAAATTATATTACAAAACAATTTCTTGAAATAAAAAGAATGTACTGATTTTCTATCCACAGTTAACAATTAATCATACCTTTTTTAGAAAATATTTTTTATTACATATAAAAGAAAAACATCAACGTAATGATATTAATGAATTGTTAGTAAGTTTAAACATATGTTATTGCATCAAACACGTGCCAAATATTGTACAAATGATGAGTATATAACAAAAAACAAAATGGTTGGGCAACAAGTTCTAGCAACATGAAATTAAACCCTTCCAAGAAATGAATATATTAAACATTGTAGAAAAGCAACAATGATTACTTTTAACATGTACATAAAATTTAAATATATATTTCATTTTTAACAGTTCATTTATTCATTGAATGAACAATTCTAATTGTAGTTGGGTTGCCAGCCTGATCTCACTTTAGCGGTGATTATTAGTTGAATTGTAGCTTTGGTTTTTAAAAAAAGAGGGTTTGTTAATGTTTTTTATTAGAAACACGTAAGTACGTTAGATTATAGCAAAGTGACCTAGACAATTGAAAAACTTTGTAATAAAAAACAAAAACAGTATGAAAAGTGTTTATTAGTATAAACACTAATATTTTTTAACTGATTCGAATATGACAAAGTTATGTTTAAATTCAAAATTGTAACGACGAAACAATAATATGTCAATGTTTCATGTATGATAAGAACGGGTTTCTCAAAAGAAAAATGGCATTATTCGTTGTTCGACGTAACGATTACATTTGAAAAAGAAATATTCGCCAATTTTCAATCACAATATCACATTGAAACTAAATGATTTAAATTGACTACATACATATATTACAGTAACGTCCCTCATAACCATTGTCACAGTAACAAAGAAAATCATGAAAGACGTCATAACATTGACCGTGTACACATGGACTGGTCGAACAATGATTCGTCTCTGTAAAAGTGAAATATATAACTGATGAATACCCTGTGAAATATTTACTGAAATAATAGTTGTTTTTTCAACTCGAATATTCCGCTGCAAATGAACAGTAAGACGATATTTATGTACAAAATGAATGACTTTGTCACCGATATAGACCAGTCGGACCAAGCTGACTAACTTTAATTTTCTATCTTAAAAGATTCAATTTCTTAAATAGACGGATCCCAAATGAAAACTGGACACGTCATTTACATTTACTCATCAGGGAAATGGTCAAGCAACAAACGATGAAATCAAATCTGGTAAACATATTCAAATATTATACATGTAACTATATACAAACTAGGGCATTGTATATATCGTATTGATAGCAACTGGCATGAAACCTAGTCTATCAAGATAAAAGTAATAAAACGAACAATTTTCAACTTTATTTACGGTTTCCATTATATTTAGTCTCATAATCTCTTCGTATAAAGGATATTAATAGATGTATCTTAGAAATTGACAACATTTTCTGATGAGCTGTTTGACTAAGTATTTATACTTTATAATATTACTTATCATAAGTTTATTAGATTTTCGTCTCGAAAAATTATAAGATGTACAACGAAGAAATTTATCATTGCAAAAGAACGTAACGTTTTGACATCACAAAACAGTTTAATAGAAAAATTATCAATCATCAACTTTCAAAAAAAACTTATCAACAAAATGGCGACTGAATATTTCTTTGGATATCTATTATAACATTTCGGTCCAAGATATATTGGTCTGATTTTGTATTAGTTCAAATAAGTATAAAAAATATATGCCAAATTTTCGTAATATATCAGTAAAAAATAAATTGAAACATTATGGCGGATTCGGTTTGTGATAGAAACGTCCTGTTTGCGTCTCATTTATCTCCGTCAAATGTCATACCACAATTATTATTAGCACACGATTCCACTCTGTCATTTGATCCTACACAATATTGTCCGTATGGTGATGGGGAAGGATTCGAGCATGACCTCGTTTGTGTTCTAATTCCTCCGCCACAAGTTGCACTGCATGAACTCCATGACGTCCAGTAACTCCAACCGCCGTCTGTAAAATATTTTTCAGATCTTATTTAAAACATTAGATTTTACACAACGATTTATAGATTCAGAGTTTCTCACCTAACCGGTTTGCATTCCTTATTTTGGTTAACGATTTAAGATAACAAATTAAACAATAAAGCAATGTTTTGCTTTCTTTTGGAGTAAGATATCAAAATATTGTCCGTCACTATTTTTTATTACCTAAAACGATTAAGAACCGCATTTTTAAGCCATACTTTGCTATCTTTAGCAGTTGTATATCGAAATATTGTACATCCGTACGAAATCATGCTCGGGATGATTTCGTAAGGACGAACAATGTTTCAATATCATTGAAAATTAACCTAAATGTTGGTCCTTATTCGGTTATTCAATATAATGATTGAAATTTGATTATGAGGAAATACAATGTTTTTAGATTATCTAATTTTGTGTTTTGTTGCATCTAAATATATTTAAAATATTTTTAGTGGCATTTGGCTTCAACACCAATTGCCTTTAATATATTAAGATTCATTTTCGTCTGTGCAAGCTTATTTGGCTTCATTTAGATTATGCTGAAACAGATATATTATTGATTGATTGTGGTGATAAAATGATACATGCATTTTATTGACCAAATTTAACTTTGACATTGATCAAATTTGGTGTCAATTCAATACGTACTTGCACATGGAGCTGGCATACACAGCTGTGATTCAATGTTAACGCCGAAACAATGATTTCCCGCCAGACTTGGGGGTGGATTAGAGCATGCCCTCGTGCGACGCTGCAAACCCATGCCACAAGTTACTGAACATGTACCCCAATGTGACCAATCACTCCATCCGCCATGAACTTAAAATCAAACGATAGTGTGCCATTTTAAACTGAATAAACGTGTATTTTACTCGTTTAATTTTAATCAACAAAATATTTATTTTTATCGTTGCAATAGTTATGAAAAAATGGAATAGGAATGAATTGGAAATCAATCTTGTATTAAATAAGAGTCTTATTTTAAACTCCTTCGAGAATTGACAATAAGGTAATTGGAAAGGTGATAGAACAGTTTCTTTTAATAGTACGTATGCGTCACGTAAAGGTTTATATCTATACTCAAAACTTAATAAATAATGGTAAATAAATGATTTGCTCTCACTGATTTGTAATTGTGTCACATTTATATTTTTACTAATATTTGATTAGATCTATGTGCTTATGTACATCAAGAAGCCTTATCAGTGTCATGTAAAATTGTTTAGACCTTACCTGGGCATGGTTGTTCTTTCTTACAAACTTTTGTCATTATCCCGTCTCCAACACAATTAAGGCCACCATTCTTTGGTGCCGGATTAGTGCATGTTCTAGTCCGAGTTTGATGTCCATTTTCACAGGTAACATCGCATTTACTCCATGTTGACCATAAAGTCCAGTTTCCGTCAACTAAAATATACTGCCGTCCATAAAAAACTATTTTCCTCTCTGAATTCCACCTTTTGACAAACAATTATTAAATCAAATGTTAATATTTAAATTTAATATACGATTTAAGTGGACCTTTCTTGAGAGATGATAACTCTACAGCTTATGGTGAATGTGCGAACAATAAGATATTGTCTTTTAAATATATCCTAACACATAAAAACAGGAAAAACGAATTGTATTGCATGTACAACGTTTTAGTACTGTCTTTCCTAAATGTTATTGGCCGAACCTGCCGTGATGAGGTTGCTATGGAATGTTTATTAACCATTGCAGATAGTGTTATCGAAATTAATGTTTAAATTGAAAACTTATTGTTCTCAATTAATGTTATGGTATCTTGTAATTGTTGTTTAGTACTTCTCGACCTTTTCAATCACTCCTCGATTAATGCCTCTTACAAAGTGAAATAACTGGACAAAAAAGAATACATACCTATACAGAGTTCACAGAATTTTGCACAAACGCTTCTAGCGTGTGCTACGTCACTACAGATGCTAAAAATAGAATTCAATCTTGCACAGTCCACCGATTTGTCATCCATACACACTCTTGCTGAAATATATACAAGTTTGCTTCTTTGCGAGAGTTTCTTTTGTAGCTGTGGAAGGTTTGTTTAATTCGCAAATATTCCGAGATATTTTTGCATAAATGGCACAATGAATGTTTATAAATTACAATTATTTTACAAAATAGAATTAATTACTTTTATTGAATAAAGTATCATAATGAAAGTTTGTTTAACGCTTCATTTTTTTTATTGTTTTGAAAAATTATGCCGGAGAATTGGACATTTTCTTGGAGTTTCACAAAGGGCACACTAAATGTTATGTTAACAAACTAAACTTAAAATAAATGATATACATTAAAAGAAGTATAAAATTAAAGTTTCTTGTAAAATTAAATAATTAAATTTTCGATTAATGTTTTGGTAAGCACAATTTCGGTACACGGTACACTTGGTCATTTAACAGTGGATGGTGAAATTGTAGCTATAATGTTCACTGTTACTATTTTCGGAACATAAAATAGTAAAACGCAATTCAGAAAACAATAATCGATTTATACAATTTTAAGGATTAAAACGGAATGAACCATTGCCCGTAGTGTTAAGTCACATAAATGATATTTTCCGATTTTTCCTTGTACCGATTTGTTCACTACAATGTTAAATTTTCGTTTAAGTTAAGTCCTTTTTTCAAGCGGAGCATGTGCATAACAATGTCTGTAGACTGATTCTAATGAGTTGAGGCTTAAAATCCAGTGTATTTACTTCAATTTGATACACAAAATCGGATGCCGCCAGCAATCATTCTCAACACTCTAAAGACCTCTCCAATGAATTTTTTATTTGTATGTAAAGAGTACTGTAATTAATACACATTTTTGACTGCAAATTATACGTAATGTTTGAAAGACACATATACAACGTCTATACGAATAAATGGTAAGCCAACATGTTTTGTTTGCTATTAAACTAACGTTAATGTGAACAGATTATGACTTTTGATGGTTTTGACTTGTAACTTATATATCTTTTCCAAAAATTCGAACCAGTGGTTGGTTAATTAAATAATTAACAATACAATGACGAAAAATAGAGAAAATGGCATTTGTGGGGTTTACATATTGGCAGGACAATAAATAAAAACAGTCATATCTATATGCTCGTAAATTGGTTATATTTGTTCTGGGGATTATTAGGATTTTTAATTTCGTCTATTATACAAAAGAAAAAGACCATCGGCAGTTCTGATTAAGCCACTCATACAATTAAGATAGCCTCGTGTTTCAATGTTCTTTCTATTGCTTAACTAAACACTAAGGATAGGTATGAGGGATGTTGCACGTATTCATTATCCCTCATGTACAGACTCAATCAAACCGTGTCTGCAATTCTCTTGTAATTTTGTTGTGATTAATGCTTCCCAGGGATCACTTTGTTTCCAGAGTTTTATAATTAACCATTATTAAAGACCAAACCTTAATTTATAAACAAAAACATCAATACACAAATACCATCTCTCTTACGTTTAGGATGGAGACATAGGGCGGAGTTACAACGGTCGGTGGAGCAGCATTCGAAACACGATGACGTTTCCCTAGATTCAAGATCTCTTCCAACAATTGTAGAAACTGCAGCATGCGAATCACAATTCTGAATTAAAGAATTGGTAAAGAAGGTAAACAAAAAGAACAGCGACAAGGCGCATGCTGTTTAATTACTAACTGTACAGATAAAACCCAGCAAACACATGACGTTAAAATAACGTCGGATTAATGTTAGATTTTGGTCACGACGTCGGCGACCAAAATACGACGTAAATCTGACGTTAAAATACCGAAGTCTAATAGACGTTTCTTTTTGACGTCGTACTAACGTCATGTTATGGTCGGTGTCCTGACGGTAGGTAAAAAAAACAACAAAAAATAATCCTTATTCGCTGTTGTAATCATTTAAACTTTTTTCAAATGTTATTTGGATTACAAATGAAGTGTTCTTATATAAATACAGACCAAGATCGCGGCGCTGCAACCTAATAAAACATATAGGTGGCGCTGTATATACGCAAGTTACATGTGTTATTGTTATGAAATCCATTTATAGCCACAGATCTGTTTACAAGTTCATTTAACGTTGTAATATTATCATTTGTGGTACATTATATGTATCAAATTACGAGTTTTTAATAGTGCTTTAACATTTAATCATAGTGACAGAAAAGGGAAAGAAAACATAATTAACCTTTAATTCGAATCTAAAGTCACGTGGATGGAAATTCAAATTCGTAGGCGTTACGTTTTGGCTGTCGGTCAGGAATCGGGATGCATTGATAAGTGAATATTATAGATTTTCTTGAACACAAAGGTCAGTTCAATTTATTTAGATTTATTTCTACGTTGTATTTGATAAATAATTGCATGATTGCAAGCACTCTTAAATTTAGTTATCATTATTTGAACAGCTGAAGTAAAATATCACACAAATTCGCGATAATGTCTAATAATAAATCTTTTTAAAATTGACATGTTTAAACTCTGCTTGTGAAGAGTTTATAATATGCCTTTCAGTACTACCAAAGAGAATGCTTAGTTTTCATATTTTTCTTAAACTGAGATGTTTTTGTCATTTAAAATCTGAGAATTGAGAATGAATTTGTACGATTTCGAGCATTTCGGACCAAGACGTTTCGGTCCCAAATAACCCAAAACGTTCCGGTCCCAAATAACACAAGACGTTTTGGTTCAAGACATTTCGGCATTAAATCTTTAATTTAAAACTATGAAATATTTAGGGCTCGCGTAACTGTTCTATTTCAAACGTAGAATATATACATAAGTTAGAATATAATTTTCTTTTCAGGTAGTTAAAGTGTTGGACATGCTCTCAAAGGTCGGAGGGACGGAAACACGTGAATATGTAAAAAGAAACATATGAAAGTAAGATTTTTGTAAATTCTATTACATACTTTAATCCATACTAAACTGGAGTTTAAAAGCGGCTTTTTAAATTTTAAGTATTTATGTTTACTTTTAATTTTTGTTAAAGCTCTCTTATAAAAAGTTGGCGAAATTGTTTATTAAGTTAAAATAACCATGAAAACATTTTTGCTTGTTATTTTAATATTTTTCATAAATTTCTCTTTTTTTCAGTGAAAATGATGTCACACACGCTATTGGGTGCTACAAACGCTACATATCTTGCGGACAGACGAGGGTGCTGAAAGAAGGTCATATCTTAAAGCATCACACCTCAAAATTCGTGCTAATTCTCATGGATATCTAAAAGTATAACTTTGTGAAGTAACTAAAAGGCAGCAATTTATACATTACTGACAATTATCAAAGGAGGTCAAAATATGCAAAATGACACTAAATGTTTTAGAAATGCTGTAGAAATATAGTTAAAGTACTGAAAATCAGTCATAAATTGCTTGAAACATTATTATCAGAATCTTTTAACTTTTCTTAAAATTATAATATTTTCATTGTTTTATTTGATAAGGCAAACTTTGATAGAAATGTGCATACATTGTTTTGTTCTTTATAAATATTTGTACATGTTTTCTTAGTTTCATTTATGTCATTGTTTTTGTAATACTTTTTGTTTTGTAATTAACTTATTTTATGTTTTATTTTGTTTAATTTATGAAAATTATTTAACCTTGCAGAATTTACTAAAATTGTATGTATCAGCTTAAAATTGCAACTTTTATCTTAAATTAAAAAAGCATGAAACATATTTTTGCTTTTAGTTTTCTGTTATACATTTCATTTGAGGGAAAGTTACTTAATAGAATAAGTTACATTAAATTAGATCAAATCAGGATTAGCCAGAAAATATTTATGACGTGGTGAAAAAAAAGGATTAGGGGAATGATAAGATGAAGGTCAGAAAATGATCAGATTTAGGGCAGAAAAGGGTTAATATTTAGGTCGGAAAATGGTCAGATTGAGGTCGGAAAATGGTTAGAAACTGGTTAGATTTAGGTCGGAAAATGGTCAGATTGAGGTCGGAAAATGGTCAGATTGAGGTCGGAAAATGGTTAGAAAATGGTCAGATTTTGGTCAGAAAATGGTTAAATAATGGTTAGATTCTGACGTCTACCTGACGTCAGATTATTACGTCAAAAAAAAACTTTCAAATCCAACCGTTTTTCCGACCGTCATCCGACGTCAGAACCTGACTTAAATCTGATGTCAGTATGACGTCTTGTGTTTGCTGGGAAAGGAGGCGTTCGTGGACGAGTGGTTAAGGTCGTTGACTTCAAATCATTTGCCCCTCACCGCTATCGGTTCTTATCCCATCATGGGCTTAGATTTCGTTCATGTAAGGAAGCTACCCAGCTACCTTATGGATCGTCGGTGGTTCTTCCTCAATCCGTAAAGCTGGAAAGTCGCAATATGACCTTAACACCGTTGATGTGACGTTAAATCCAACAACAGAAAGCAAGAAAATTAAAGAAATTGACTTATTTCTAGCAGAAATATGTCTATTTGCTCACCTTCAATACATTTTTATTTTCAGACTTTAATATCAAACAAAATACATTATCACTCATATCTTATTACATTTGGTATTTTTGTACGCGCAATTGAGCTGTTTAATGTGTTTGAAACTTTCTTGGAGGATATAAAAAAATCTCCGTACACAGCAAAAATTGTTTGTCCTTCATGATTTTTTTATATATTTTTGTCATTTCTGACATGTGAATTTCTTGTTCATTCTTTTATAAGTCACAGATAAATACGTTGGTGTGGAATATTCTATAAAAAGTCTATTTAAAAAACAATTTAAACAATTATACTGAATAGAAGAATGTTAAATACCTGATTATCAATGCACCCAAGACTATGTTGTCCTGCCGTCAGATTTTGGTAACAGGACTGGAAAAAATAATTGTATATATTCATGAATTGAACATATGTTATCGGCTGTCTGACAAAGCAACCTGAAATGCCCAAAACTTTTACAATAATATTTTCACTATTTCAACCTTAAAGCAAATTCGACATTTTTATTAATTATTTCATCTCTTGAAATTATAAGATTTTTTTTTTTTCAAAATAATTGAAGATAATGTCTATTGAAATAAGTAAGTCATGTGTGTTTTAAATTTTAGTCGCTGTGCAAAAAAGTGCAAATTTTGTAATTTTGTATTCGTTTAGACTATCACAGTTATATTCAAAATAATTTTGCATTCATCTAGTTTATATTCAAGGATCTCATTTATTTTACCTATTACATATTCAGTCATTTCATTGATAATACTTTATGTATAATTTTCTTTTGTCTTTGCGGCTCCTAAACGCTAGAACGATTTGAAATATCCTCTTACCTGGCCAGCTGAACACGACCTTGTGACATTGCATTTATTTATATCAGCAACATTTGAGCAACTGTAGCATTCAAGTGTTTCTGAAAACAAAATGGTAGTGAAGCATTCTATTATTGACAATTAACGTATCACTTCCTATTTCAACAAAAAGGCGTTCTTAGAAAACTTTATTTCACAATCTTCATATATCATAACATCATGGCTGTTTGTGTAATCATGCATTATTCATAAATGATAAAGGTATTTTCTCTTATTTAATGCATCATCATATGATATTTGTGTGTATTTATGTATAACTTTTAATGATACTATTAAAGAATTCTAATTTCTCTATAGTTTTGCCGCTGGTTAACATCTTTCCTCCGCCCCTTATCAGGAGGGAGTTTTATTTTCAGTGGGATGGTAGGCCTCACTGGGTAAAATATGGTAAACAATATTCTGTAAGGTTGCCAGTAAGATTTCTATTATTGTTGTGGTTTAGAAAATATTAACTAATTGCATATCTTAACATTCTTTTTGTAAACATTGTACTTTCTATTACCTGACAAGTTTGTGTTATCATTATCACGTGACGTTATAATTGTTTAAATTATCTATTTGCATGGCGATGTACTATGTACAAGTCTAAAATAAAAACGTATGCTCTGTTCTGTTCTGCTCTGATCTTATCACGTTATTGCTTATGTATGCAGTCTGCGGACGGTTTGTGGCAAGAAATAACCAACCATTGCTTTGTATTCTTTTGAACACGGCCGCATTACCTTAAAAGTGACAATTTCTTTTATCTTGGCTTCAAAAGGTATTAAATTATATACAAACCAGAGAATCCCACCAAGGCTAATAGAAGTAGCACATAAATTGTGTAGTCTGAAAAAAAAGTCAATCAGATACCAAACTATAATAGAGCAAACCTTTGCTGAATGTCAAATTAATGTAACATGGAAAAATCAAAGTTAACTCTAGTTGAAACACTAAATAGAGGATATTCATTTTTTTCCTTTAAATTCAGGATTTGTCTTTATCTAGTGGTATGAAAATAAATATGTCATTAGTGCGGAAGCCACGCGTGAATTATGATAATTTTCATAGCACAAGATTAAAATAAAGCCTGTCTTTATAGAAAAGAACTTGAATTTTCTGCTTATCATATACATTTTTTCTCTTCTTTGACAGACTTTCCCTTAAATTGTGTATATTTGCTGAATTTAGAAGAAAGTAGTCCGCAAGACACCTGTGAAAATACGGAAAATATGTTGCATTTGAAAATACGGAAAATGAAAATACGCATTTTATTTCATCAATATTTCTCAATATTTAATTTGCAAGTATATGATAAATAGAAGATATTTGTTTAGTTCAGTGTAAGATCGGAGCCACGAGTAAAAAATGAACTTTTGGTGTTCACGAGGTGAAATATATTTCGATCTTACACTAAAATAAACAAATTTTCATTTTAATATATGCAAAGAAACGTTGAAAAAGACATTTAACCTAATACTAAATGAAAAGCGCGTCAAAAAAATAATACAACGTGACGTCATTTACGATGTCACATCATTAGGTTGGATTCCTTTTACTGTGCACGCTGGTATTTCACTGAAACAATGTAACGGACTTAAATTCAAAACGGTGAAAAATATCAAATTGATTGACTGTTTCAAACTGTAAAATATTTTTTTTTTATTTTACTGATATATTTATATAAGCCACTGAAAAGCATGTAATAAAGATATATTTACCAACGTGAAAAAATTATGCATGATTTGTAAGCTATTGTAACACATTAGTTTTGATAACCTAACATCTCTTTGGACGCAATGTTGAAGCTTATAAAAAAATTAAGAAATGACTTAAACTGCCGTCGTCCTTATCTTTCTGTCTGTCTGTTGTTTTTAAACAACCAATGATAAATAGGAAATCTAGAACAACTATTCACTAAAAACAAACAAGAAAAAAATTCATGATCAGACTTATAGCATTCTATTTTTCATTATTATTAACATAAAATAGATCTATATACAAAATGATTAATGTTGTTTCTTTAACTTACCCATAACTTTTCTGTTTTCAAACTACGATTCCTATTAAGAAATATTCATCTTTAGTTCCCTAAAGATAAGGCTCGATTGTGAAATTTCAATTGTAAAGTAGAACTACATTGTAACTATGGAGGCTATTCGTTGCCAAAAATCTAGCCTTGTTGATCTGAGTTGAACCGTTTGTTTACAGACAAATACATTTCTTTGTATGTAAACTCCAATGTTGTATTCTGGGATTGAGATTGCCGATTTAATATAGTAAACATGTATTTCAACAAAATACATTGTGTTAAACGACAAAATATTAACTGTTTTTTTCTGAAAGTAGCAATACCCAGTGTTCATCATAACATGCGGAATACTATACGCCGACAAAACAGAAGTTATTTTCTTAGCTTTACATTGTCAAACAATCATCATTCGGATTAGTGGGGCGGGAAATTGAGAAAATAGTGCAAATGGCGATACAAGGAAATCATCTTTAGACCACATAGATTTCAAAAGTGAAGTGGGCCCAAAAATATCTCTGCTCATTCAAGATGACCGCCATTTTCAAAATTGTCTCCTTTACAAAAATTTAAATCTTACAAAATTCCGCATTTATACCTCTTCTCAATCCAAGATGGCGTCCAAACTGGCCGCCGATTTTATGCAAAACTGTTATATAGTTTCTATAGTATAATTTGTAACACAAATTATTTTTTTTTTCGATAAAAAAAGTGTTTAAACATATCAAAAATAATCAAAGCATATGCTTATCATAATGAAAGTAAAGTTTTTTTAAGTTTATGTCTAAAAAAATATCTTTAAAGATATCAAGACAAAAACTCATTTTTGCATATTTCTCTGATTTGCTTTTCTAACTCTATATGCAAAATTAAAAAAAACTTTATTTCTTATTTGTAATTCAATTAAAAATAGGAGTTTGTTGTAAACATGTAAGAGAACCATAAAAACTGTAGGTTTTATATTTTGTCAAAGTGGGTGGGGAAAATTTATCCTATAATTATAATAGAAAAACAACAACACTGACCGTAAGTTATTTCTGTTTCTTCGCTTTTTCTGTTAATTATTATGCAAATGGTCCCTATTAAAAAGTATTCTTTATTGGACGAATGAATTTTTGTCTTTCCTTGGTTTATACGGAATTTATTTTAGTTTGATTGTGTAGGAAGCTATAAAATATATGTCTTTCTTTGGGTCAAGTAGGTGAGCTAAAATATCAATAAATGCACTTACAATCATAAGTTTACACTCAGTTATTAAATTTGGTTGCGTGATATTACTTGTTTCAATATCTTGATATTATTTTTTAATTGTTAATTGTTAAGATATATAAAAAGACATTAAATCAACAAACATGCTTTAAATAGCAAACATGCACATGAATAAGGTTGTCCATTAACGCATACCATTAACTTCTTCACAATTTCATTTTGAAAATATGAAAATGGCTTTACAGCTAACTCAATTAGATAATTATAATTTTTGCATAAATCAAATATAAGGCTACTATCACAACATCTCATTCTATGTGTTGTGAAACAGATATATCAATGATATCACTTGACCTACAAACAGTTTTTGATTATTTAAAATAAAATAATTGTAATTCATAAATTATTTATATCTATTTTCAATTTCAATAACAGGGCAATGATGACAATAAATCACACACCATTGTGGGGGAAAGGTCACAATTCTTTATATACGTAGGTAATTGGGTGTATTAATTTTGTCATAATATATATGATTTGCGAAATATTTCAAGGATGCTTTAAAAGAAATAGATTAATATCCAGTTTCTCAGAATTGTTTCTCATGAGAGGACTTGTATAACTATAAATATTCCTATATGAGTCCATATAAACTTGTCCATGATCTTTTAAATATTTGTATTTTGTAGAGTATTACAAGGTTATGATGATACATAATTAATTCGGTTACTGTAGTTTTAGAGAATACAAATTTATTACATAAGTCTGTGTAAAATAAGTGATACCCATTTCAAAGCCATATTAACTGCAGGACATCATACAATTTTATGCATTTAGTTTAACACTAGAAGTTCTCTTATTGTGTTTTCCTACACAAGTCTATAAACCCGGGTGGCTCTATGAGCAAGATTCAATCAATATGTTAACGACACAAGATGATGGTACACGCTAAGTATCTATGCTCTAAGCTCTGTGCATTTTTTAGAAGACTTTTTAAACATTTTTACTATGTAAAATCTATACACACTAATTGACGAACAGAGAGTTTTATGTAACTTTTAAAGAGGTCTTCTCCTTGACAATGTAACTGTATGTTGAATATCTAAGATCTAGGCAGTAAAGTTCCCCGAACAGAAAAATTATCATAAAAAATCACTCTGTGATATTCTATAAAAATTATGAATTATTGGCATAGGACCAAATCAGTAAGTTTATATGGACTCCTATAAAAATATAACTATATGAGTCTTCTTGTGTGAAACAGTTCCTATGAGTACCTAGATATTGGGCATGTTTCCTTTGAAGCGAACCTTCACAAATAGTTTATAAATCATAACTGTATGTGGTGAAAAAAATTGATTCTACTAACATGATCTTATCGTACTTCTGTATTAAAGAGTAATGGCAATTTTCCTGCAGTGGATCTTAGGTGAGTGAATGGGTAACATGAAATTTGAATGAATAATCTTTGACAGATAGTTAGTTTATATTTTAAGTCATCAGCATATATATGTGGGTCAAGCGGTACTATTGATATACTTAATTATTTCACTACACATAGATCATATGATGTATCAGTCTTAATTTTTCTTTGTATCTTTTGAAAATACCATGTTTAGATATGTTATTCTATAAACAGTGCTAATTCAATTATTATATCTAATTACAATGACATGAAAGTAGATATAACTTTGAATCGTACTGTAACCAAAGCTTCAGAAAGACTATGATATCTAATGCAAAATTCATTATTCTCATGGTGTTGGCTTTAAAACGATTTTCATCTTTTCGTAAAGAAATTGTGAAGGAATTAATTGTATTCGTAAATAAGACAATATTTAACGCATGTTTTGTTAATGTATATTCAGTCTACTATCGTTATAATTAACTGATAATATTAAGAATATTGAAACAAGTTATATCTTGCAAACAAATTTTACAACTGACTGTATACACATGAATGTTTGTGCATTTTAGCACACCCTCTAGACCTGAATGAAGACAAAAATTCCTTAAAAAAAATAAAATTTTTAACAGTGAATATTTTCCTAAGAATTCATAGAAAGTTTAACAAAAAGCAAAGAAATAAAATTAACTTACAAACTTCGTTGTTTTTGTTTTTCAATTATCAGATAAATTTACCCCACCCACTTTGACAGAATATAAAAGCTACAGATTTTATGTTTACAATAAACACATAGTGTTAATTAAATATCAAATACACAACATTGTATAAGAAACTAAGTAACTTTTGAGTTTTGTACAAAGACCTATTAGAAAACCATGTTAGAGAAATATGCAAATATTGTCACTTTTTCTTAAATATTTTTAAAGATACTTTTTGGATAAATAATTTAAAAGGCTTGACTTACATTGTTGTTTACATATAATTTGATTATTTTTGATATGTTTATACATTTTTTATCGAAATATGCAAAATTTGTGATATAAATTATATGACAAAAGAGATATATCAGTTTTGCATAAAATCGGCGGCCATATTAGACGCCATCTTGAATTCTGAAGAGGTATGAACGCTGATTTTGTTCAAGATTTGAATTTTTGTAAAGGAGAAACTTTATACATGCTTTAGTATAAGTTTAAGGTCTGTACAAAAAAAAATTCAATGAATGAGCTATTATGTACGTCAAATTTATAAGGCGGCCATTTTGAAAATGGCGGCCATCTTGAACGAGCAGAGATATTTTTGGGCCCACTTCTCTTTTGGAATCTCTATAGTCTAAAGATTATTTCCTGAAAGTTTCATGCTTGTATCACAATTTGCACTATTTTGACAGGAGAGACCTTATTTCCCGCTCCACTAGAATTATTGATAGTAAAGGTGGTCAAAAAATACACTTGGTGAAAAAAATTGGGTTTTTCTACAACCCAATATAGTCCTTTAAAGAAAGAAGGCACAGGCTTACTGTTCAGTTCTCTTTATTCGTGTTGCCATATATCACATTCTAGTACTGTTTGCTGAATCTCAAAAATAAAATGCGTACAAGTACTTTTGTTGTAAAGGCACACAAAACCTACCAATGGCAAATGTGTGGTTTGTGTCCTATATGGGAAACATTCCCTTATGTTAATTCACTGACTAGTTTTTGCATATTATTACGCTCATTATCAGTATTAACGTTGTTACATTGTTACATTATAATATCTTAAACCATATTCTGCATTACATTGAGGATTATCAAAGTCAAGCCGTTCTGTTAAAACAAAAATTGGACTACAAGCGCACTGCAAATGCGTTGATTTGTGCAATTTTTATAACAGTTTTATATAATTTGAAATATGTTTGTACCAGGAAAAGTTACCTTTCTTTATATTCTGCTTTCGTAAAAATTGGCTCCGCCTATTAATTTTCGTCTATTTCCGTAATAATTCCATACATGGAAGTTGCAAAATCGTTTACAAATGTTAATCGCGTTAAAATGTATAAAGGAAAGTATGGTGTTGTCAACCTGACAGTTACACTCTCAGTGTCATGATGCACAGCATTAAACGTGTTGTGTACGTTCTATCGTTTACATTTCTACATGTCGCAAATTTGAAGTTATGTAACTCTCGGATCGACGATTAAAGTTTTACTAATCCGTTAGTAGAAACGAAGTGAATTGCCAAGTTTCAAAGGCTGGATTTTTGGCAACGAATAGCCTCCATATGTAACTACGTTTTACTTGTAATCAAAAGGACAAAGTATGACCTAATATACATGTCGCCTGTTTCTGCTCTTATCGTGAGAGAAGATTTAAGATATAAAATCGCATGTAGAACAATATGAATATAGAGTAAATGTCAGGGCTGTATGGTGGCTGATTAACGCCATGTCGTATTTTCGCTTTGTTGTCTCGAAAACGCGAAAAAGCAAAAACACGAAGGGACTACAAAGATGGGCTTTGTCGTTTCTTCGTGTTTTCGCTTTTTCGCATTTTCGATGCAACAAAGCGAAAATACGACAGAAGGAGGACGAAAATACGAAACATAAAATCTGGTGTATATTCGCATTCCATCTGTCGTTTTTTCGTATTGTTACATTTTCGCATTGTAACATTTTCGCATTGTTACATTTTCGCGTTCCGGTTGCACATGCGCATGGAGACATCAATCTGAAAATACCTAAACGTTACAGCTAATGACATTTTTGAACCTCCCTGCGTAAAGTACCGTGAACTAAGAGAAGCACAGTATAATACAATATGATCTAAATACAATATATTTATTGATTTTTTTTCATGAATTCTAATTGTTCTACTTTTATTGATATTCGTGCAATATGGGGAAGACAGAATGACCATCAAGAGATCTTTGTTTTAAAGACCTGAGGAATGCCTGACAACATGTTGTAATGTAATAATGAATAAAAATTATTTTTTAATATTATTATATAAATTTTAAATGAACTTAATCCAACATGCACTACTCAAATTTAGTATGTCTTAAAAACTCTAGTACTAGAAAAACAGGCATTATAAAATGTTTTCCTGTGAAAATACACCTCAATCTCAGACATATCTATTTTAAGATGTGTGCGGGCAGTGCCTTTATCGTAAATCTCATGTCACACCCGTCAGACTGATAATCTTAAAGATGGTATAGGAACAAATTACTGTTACAGTATTTATTATTATAATTGTTGCATTAATTGATTCAAAACAGCCTGAAAGCCTTACAGTTATATTATTTGATTATTTTACATGTGTATAAGAAGCGGGCTGATACTTTTAATTTTAAACAGCTACGTTAGTACAACATATCTTATATAGGACTATTAAATAATATATCATTGTGATCAATAATAATAATAATACAATGTAATAATAATAATAATAATAATAATAATAATGATGATGTACCCATGTGCATGTACAACCGGAACGCGAAAATGCGAAAATGTAACACAATGGGAAAAAGCGAAAGTGCAACAATGCAAAAATGTAACAATGCGAAAATGTAACAATGCCAAAAAGTGAAAATGCAACAATGCGAAAATGTGACTATGCAAAAATGCGAAAAGACGACAAAGTTATACTTTGTCGTCTCTTTGTGAAATCGCATTTTTATATTTTGAACGCGAAAAAGCGAAAATACGACAGATGGAATGCAAATATACGACAGATTTCATGTGTCATATTTTCGCCCTCCTTCTGTCGTATTTTCGCTTTGTTGCCGCGAAAAAGCGAAAACACGAAGAGACGACAAAGTCCAACTTTGTCGTCCATTCGTGTTTTCGCATTTTGAGGCGAAGAAGCAAAAATACGACATGGCGTAAATCAGCCACCATAGGGCTGTGTTAAATAGAACGTACGTTTATCCTAAATCTTATATAAAATTAACTTTAGGACTAACTTAAGACCTTTCACTATAAATATTTTATTTTTAGTCACATAATGTAAAATAATGTATTCTCCTAAGAAAAGTTAAGAAATTCAATGATAGACCCTAATTATGTTCGCAATGTGTAAATGCCGATCAGCATTGCTATTCAGAAATTAAGTCATAATAATTATGATACAAGGAATAAGTTAAGACATTTTCTTTGAAACGCAAAATTGTCTCAGTTTTGGTCTTAAGACTGATTTCAGACTAAGGAGGACTTTTTATGAATTCAGCCCATTTGAATATATGTGTAGTCCAGTTTATAAGAATTCATTTTAGGTCTAGATCAAGTTCGATTCTGTTGGAAGCTAGAGCTATTTAAGCTTATTGAACACACATTCGAACTAGGACTGCCATTGAATATCGCAATATCGATATATCGTGACATCAATGATCCGTGGCCGAGTGGTTAGGGTCGCTGACTTGAGATCACAGGTCCCTCACCGCTATAGGTTCGATCCTCACTCAATCCATCAAAATTTTTCATGTGAGGAATCCATCCAGCTGGCTTACGGAAGGTCGGTGGTTCTACTCAGGCGCCCGCTCGTGCCTGAAATAATGCCCGGAGGGGCACCTGGGATCTTCCTCCACCAATAAAGCTGGAAAAAAATCGACGAAAAAATCTCGGCGGGACGCTCTAGGATGGCCCGACTTGAGTGTACGGTCGCCCATATGGGACCATAAAAAAAAATACAGTTTCTCATTTTTTTTTTATTTCATCACATGATGACATCATATCATCAATTTTTAAATATAGTTTTTACGTACGACGGCATTTAATTTTCCCTGTCATTTCATTTAGTTACAATATAATTTTCATCCGCATTCAGATAAAGTCCGGGTACAGTGAAAATTATATTTGATAAATTCCACTTGTGGTTCATCAGAATTTGTATCATAGTTTGGTGAAATATATCACGATCTTACAATGAACTTAACAAATATCCTCTATATAATCATCTGATATATTACACTGTAAAGCATGAAGTAAATGACCTTTTTACTATGAGACATTAAATAAGCAGCATCAATATATATTAACTTCATAGGAATTTCTATCACATACTCGTGCCGATTTAGCGACTATGAGACATTAAATAAGCAGCATCAATATATATTAACTTCATAGGAATTTCTATCACATACCCGTGCCGATTTAGCGACTCCGTAAAAAACGGTACATATTGCACGGCCGTGCATATATTTTGACGTGACCTGTGACGTCATTTGCGTTATACAAACATAGTGTAAAAAGGCGCTAAATGCTAGCATGAGACTATAGGCGAGTCATTGAAAAATGATTCTTTTTCACTTTATTGAACTTGTTTAATAAAATATTATGCTCGCCAGAGGCTCGCATAATATTAACTTTATTCAACAAGTTCAATAAATTCAGAATTGAATTTAAACACATTCAATATCATCTATATAAGTAATCAGATTGTTTAACAACTTTTAATGAATAATTAGTATTGATAACGTAACGGCGATAAAAGCGAAAGATTTACACCATTTTATCACAAGAGTTGCTTCCCTTTAGTATTATTTTGTTCGTTTTCGTGCCATGATGATCGACACTACCTTAATCAAGATTCAAAGAAATTCATGAAGTACATACAACAATGCCTTATAATCAAAAAGGATATTATAAATCTCATTCGTAACATCTCTACTGAAATAAACAAAATGGGTCTGAAAATAGATGCAATTATTGGGATTGCCTGTGTGTTATATGTACTTCATATAAAGTTGGATTTTTAACTGTAATTGATATGAAACACTAATTTAGTTACTGAGAAAAAAGTTTTTTCTTAGAAATTTCATTAACTGTTGTTACTTAAGACTCATTTGAAATACAGGCCTACTACCGTTACTAGCGATCGACAAGGGAAATGGTCAGATTTTGAATATTTTAGAGAGTCTTGTTACCTATTTTAAATCACGTTTTGTCGTGTTTTGGCATATTTTCTAATGTTTTCAGCATTGGCACATTATTTCTATCAAAAGTAGATATGTTAATTAAACTAGTCTTATGAATACGTATAATAACGTATCCGTGACATCAAAAAATTGCAAAGCATAAATATCTACAACAACTGACTAAATGTTCTTTTCGATCTAATGATACACCAATTAAATTCCTTCTTTTATTCTTGACCTTCATTTGTCGATTTTAGTGGCGAATAAATAATGACGTATATTGCCCACCATACATTTACAGGTAATAAGTCACGTAAGCGCTTTACTGTCTTACATTAAGTTACCTGCAAGCTTTTGGTGCGTTACAATTTTGACTGGTATACGATGTGTACACTTTTTCGACAGTGAAGACGTCGAATTTAATGAATTCATCATTGAACCATTCAATTTTTTAATTAAATTGTCTCGCGAGATCGAAGGTGGGAGGTGAACGTTGAAATCATGGCGGAAAACAACATAACAGACCGATGAAACGGATTTAATAATTTGTTGTAAATAGAAATAGACATTAAAGTTGAATGGAAACAGGATTTAAGAAATATTGGAATTAAAATTTGAGCATGTCAGCCGTTGAATTGTACACGAAGGTATGTTTTCCGTATTTGTTGCAGATTTTTTAATCGAATAATCATGATAATTGACATCATGCAAAATTATTTGACAGTGACTGGGTGACACAAAGCTATGATTCATTTAGTATCATGTATATTTTTAACTCAAAATCAAATTCTCAATATGCTATGTTCCGTGTAAAAAAACAAACTTATTTTTCAGTTAATAACACATCATGATTTAGTCATGTCACTTAAACTGTTAAAGCTGATCAGTTTTTACAACATTTCAAGATTCCATTACCTATCTTAGTCACATGTGGCAGTATCAGTGTTTGGCCACCCCATTCCTCCCCTGGACCCCGGCTACAACTCCGGAATAAATAATCCCATACTCTTAGCTGGCGCGATAGTCAAAATATATTGACATTCCAAAGCTTGATTCTGAGATATTTTCGTTCTGGTGCAGAATCTCATTTTTTAGAGGCGAGATATTGCCCTGACACAAAAATAGCACAATATCTTGTTGCGCAGTACAATTAGTTGGACTACATGGTGGAATAGCTCAGTTGGTTAGACCACTGGGTGTCACTCTTGAGGTCCCCGGTTAGGTCTTGAGTAACACCCTTGGGATTGTTCAGAGACACTTTTAGTGTTTCCCAACTATGTGCACTGGTAAGAAATCCAGGTAATCCTTGCACGTTGTATCAGTGCAATACACTGGGCATGTAAAAGAAAAAAGGGGTCTATTCAATAAGAGCTAGGGACTGGTTTTCGGATTCCCTTGTATCTCATAGCTGTCCCTGCAGTGACAAGTCAAGAGTCATGTCTACATCCCTTGGAGGGGTTTGTCATTAATGGAAGATACTATTAGATACCATTTATACCAAATACAAAACCACCGATAAAAAAGAGAAAAAAAAATCCACTATCAAAACTATAGTTATAGAAAGTTGAAATGTCTTCTATATGCTCATTTGCCAAACATTGTGGAACACGGGATTGATATCCTTGTTTTGGCGACTCAGGCGCATATCGATCTCTGCATCATTCATTTAACATCAATAAAAAGAACAAGAATTCCACAGCTTACCTCATTCAAGTCCAACAAATAATTTATTAATATTCTAACGATTTGTTTCTATTTCATGGTATTTTTCACTTTGGCACATTAAAGAAAGAATGGAAGCTTCTGGATTTTGGGCATCTTTCTGTATCTTGCACTATCCTCCAAAATATAAAATGACATATACTCTTCTGGAGGACTCGCCCATATGGGAAACAGGTGGCAAGTATAAATAAGCTCAAATACACACAAATACTCAAGAAGGGCCTATTAGTCAAAAGTTCTGACTTGTAGATATAAGCCTAAGTACTATCCTTCATACTTTTATACAGGGTATAGATTAATGAAAAAATACATCTTGTATAGGTTAATAGAAAAAACTTTATGGTTTTCCCCCATTGATTAATTCATTGCGGCCATTCAGGGCTTTTGATTAAGTTCATTGCAACTGGATACCCAATCCAAAAAGGGCTTAACTCACTTATAAAATCAGCCACTGAATGTGAAGTTCACAGTTAAAAACTTAGTCAAGAAATTTTATTAAATAATCTTGCTATTTTCTTTACTTGCTATTTCCCTTACTCAAATATTTTCCCAAAGGGTTGGCAAAATATCAGGGCTAGAATTTAGCAAGATTTTCTACTTGCAGATTTTTGCAATTGATCAAATGTTTAACTGGCAATATGAGGTAGTCAACTAGCATTTCCATCATCACGTATTTTATTATTATATTTATAGACAATGACAATGAATTTTGAACATCTGATATGACAAATGATAATAAGCTTGAATGTCTATTGAATATCAGAAACATCTTTATCACTGGTAAACACAGATGTCTTCTTGTACAACGAAACAAAAACATTTCAACAAATTAATTTATAAATGATAAACAATTGTTTAGGGATCAGATTAGATATACCATCTAGGACCACCCACTGGTGACAACATACAGTTATAAACTTGTTCATGTTATGTAATTTCTTAGGACCTTTAAATTTTAGCATATTTTGTACTTGATTACATCAACAGCCTGAAAACTCAGAGGTTCTGATCTACTTATAATAAATAAATATTTCAGCTTAAAAGTAAACACTTTACAGATGAGTGCTACACATTTACATTGGACCCTGATAAAACATCTTGGATGCTCTAATCAAAAGTGTTTGGCTGTTATAAAAAGTCCATCAAAATATAGTCACAGAAAAAATAGAGCAATGAAAAATTGATTTGTATAAAATATAAGTTTTTAAGGTAAACGTCATCAGTTACAGCAGGGGGCAGTTGCCAAGCATCATCATCAGCTCAGAAGATAAAAAAAATATGTAAACGTCCAAATTGAACAATCACTTGCAAATAAATGCAAGCTAGAGTAATTTTTACTGGCATTATTAGATTTTAACTGGCTTTTTTACCAGTATGCCAGCTTAAATTCGAACCCTGAATATATAAACAAATAACAACAAAATACATGTTCATATAGTGTTTGCAATTTGAATTTAGTTTAATGTGACAGGTGCCAGTTCTAAAAAAGTTATATTCAAGCCCTGGTTATCATCAGTCTTAGACACTCTGCTATCATTAAACTCTGCTATCATTAAATGATCATGTAAAACTTCATTGTTGAATTTGTTATTTACTTTCTTTAGTGAAATAATTAGAGCTGTCATCGATAGAAATCTTAATGACATTGATGTATCATTGATATTTTTCTGTTGATCAATAATCAATACACAGTTTAGAAAATCAATAAATTTTGACTTAATAACTAGAAATTATGAAAATTCACCCAAAACATATGTAGAAGCATATTTCATAGCAGTGATGACAAATTAATGATCAGCAAAAGTCATGCAATGTGCATTTATAAACAGGACACATGTATGAAAAGGACGTGTTTTTTTTTTACTGAAAGCATTTAAACAATTATGATAAAAGAATTACTGACAAGTATAATTAAAGTATGCAGTTAATGATATATCGGTGTATCATTGATATTTGTCATCTAATATTGATATATCGTTGATTCGCATTGTACTGATAGAAATAATTTTATATATTAAAACATGAATGACATCTCAATAGATTAAGGAAGTCACAGGTGTTATATTAAATTACATTTAAAAAAACCAGGAAGATAAACTGTTCAAATAAATATAACATTTCTTAACTAAACACTCATTTTTCCAGATTTTTGTTGTCAAAATGTGTGCAGTGGTATAAAATTTATGCCTGTGTAATATTAAAGTTTTAATACTTGATAAAAAATGAAACACGAATATTTTAGTGATAGGCTGATAGCTGGTCATGTTACATTAAAGGGACTGGACTAGGCTGATATCTGGTCATGTTACATTAAAGGGACTGGACCAGGCTGATAGCTGGTCATGTTCCATTAATGGAACTGGACCTGACTGAGATCCAATAGCCTTAAATCATAAAAATTTTTCATAACAAAACTGGTACATTAAAAATTAAAAACTTATAATACAGTAGATTATATATAAATATACTTAAAGTAATGAAGCTGTAATGGTTAATTTAGTGATTACTAACTTATTTAATTAATTAGTAATTTGTTTATTGCTAATTATGACATACAACATGTTTATTGCATGTGTCATGTAAAACATTAAGTAAATTCATGTGAAGAAGTATAAAGTACATTGATATAACGTTTGGATTAATAAAAGGATATGACCCTGTTTCTTTCTTTTCTTTCAATTTATATTATGAAAATACTGAAATTGAATAAGATGATATTTACATGTAGTATATTACAGAATATTGAACAGTTTTATCAGTCATCAAATTAAGCACTGGCTCGGCCCATGGCCAGTGTAAATTAGTTCGGGCCAGTGTAAATTTTAAGAAAATTTAGTTAAATATATAGAATAAATTCAAAACAGGAATCTCAAATTCAATGACTGTTTCATAGCCCATTGACATTGTTATATAATAGTTTTCTTATTGTTAAACTTGAACTTTTGTGAATTTGTAGGGGGGAGTTGGCAGACATTTTTTTTTAAACTAAGATAAAGTCGGCCCTAAATTTGGGGTTCAAAAATCCCATTGAAAATGTTTGGTTTGTATAAACTATTTTCTAAAGTGAGAATATATGTTATAACAGTTTTATAACAAAATATGTAGTTTTCATATCATATGTCAAGATACTGGGACAGGTTCATGAACATTGTACAATAAGTGACACCTATCTTATGATTTTTGCCATTCTTATTCTGTAACGTTAGGTCTTTATTATGAATAAAACTGGTTTAATTTACTGAGTATTAAATAACGCTGGGTTTATCTTAAAGCTACTTACCCATAGGGCAATAAATAATATACTGTTGCACTGCAGGTTTTTTTAAACAGGATTTTGGGAACATGGAATCGGGAATTTCAGCAATGTTTTTGTCATAAATTGGGAAAAAATGCATGACTGAAATGTTGCAGTGTTTAAATGAAAGCAAGGAATACCTGTCTAGCTGGGATATAGCATCTTCAAACATTTAAACACTATAACAGTGAAAGAGTATTTATTTTCAAAGATTTTAGAATTTTGTAATTCAATATTTTTATTTCGTGACTTTCAATTGGGAATTTTTTTTCCCTGTGGATTGAGAAAATAATATACTATTTTCATTTGGGAATATGACCCAAAATCGGCCAAAAAAAAAACTCCCTGCAATGATTTAGAATTGAAGCATTGGGCCAAAGTGCATGAATCTTTATTTGCTTATCAACTACAAGGAGCTAGAAACCGTCAACTTAGCGCAGAAACGGATTAACTTGTTTTAAATATAAATGGGAGTTAACTCTTTACTGCTCTGAGTTGATGAAATTTTATGTATTTTTTTTAATTTATCAGGAATTGTTTTCTGTTGTTGGCTAATGTTATCTTTTTTAGGACATTTTCTTTTTAGAACATTTTTCGTTTTAGGACATTCTCATTTCAGGACATTTTTCT